AACTTCCGTGAATTTTCTAAAATGATAATAATAATAATAATAATTTCAACGAGAAAATTTAAAATAAGGCAAAAATTGTGAATCGATTCCCTCACCTTTATGTGATCTAATATAAACTCGGAAGGATTCGGTGAAATGTCCGCCATTTTCCTAACGTTTTCCTTACAATTCCATTTATAGGCAAAATTTTCCCATTTTCCTGTTTCGTTCATAAATCGAAAAACGTCATTCAATTTTTTTAAATCTATATCACAGCCTGATGATGATGATGAAAAAATATCGATTTCTTTTTTTATTGCCTTTAAAATAATAATAATAATAATATATTTTAATCATTGCTAAGTAAAAATTTCTTATTATTATTATTATTTTGTTTTTTTCTGTCGTCGACATTTCTTACTTTGGCGTCAATTAAATTTACAATCATTTCCTCATTTTTGTCATCCATGTTTTTATTCTTACAATCCCTCGTTGATTTTTTATCGTTTCCGTTATCGGAAAATTTTAAATTTCCATCTTTTCTTTTCGAAGTTCTCAATTTCGTACCTGAATTCCTCATCGTGGCAGCTGACGATTTTGAATTTAAGTCTGAAATCATTTATTAAAACTTTTTTATAAAAAATTTTCCTTTTTCTAACTGAAATTAATTATTACCAACCGTTTCCGTTACCTTCTGGAATGTTTACAACGTCATGGTCGTCGTCGCCGTCGTCGTCGCCATCTTGCGAATTGTTCTGTAAGTAAAAAGTTTTCTTTACAATTTTATCATCATTATTATTATTACTACTCACATTTTAAAATTTACTTTTTCGCAGATTTTTCCGACGACGGAAGGAGAAGAATATTTATTTGCCAAAGCTCTGGATCTTAAACTTAACAATGTCGATGCAGCATCTTTGACTTGTTCGGTCGTCGTCGTCGTCGTCGCCGCCATTGTTGCCGCCATCGTTTCTTTTTTCGACAGTCTAAAATTGCTCACGTCTTCCGTTAATTTCTTCACGTCGCTTTCGTCCAATTTCGTGTAAAGTAAATAAAGTTTATATAAAAGATTTTGACGGTGTCTTGGATTTCCGGCGGATATTCCATCTCTTTGAAATGGCATGTCGACATCGTCGGACGATATGAACTGCAGGAATTCTACGAAAACAAAAAAAAACGATCGAAGGTAACTCAGGTTCAACCATTGGAAAATTTTAAAAAAAAAAAAAACTTTTCCTACCCTCGACGTTAAATTTTGCCCACGCTTGATCAAATTCGTTTAAATCTTTTTCATTGAATAAAATTTGTTCTATGTAACTTTCCGTTCCATCCTCCTCCTCCTCCCCTTCTCCTCCTCCTTCTTCTTCTTCGAAATTCATATTTTCAAATTCTATATCGTCCATTTTACATTTTCCCTGATAATTATTATTCAACGATGACGAATCCGTACGAGGTCTTTTTACGTGAGCGGATTTAAGCGGAGTCAATATGGATTCTTTCCTACATAGATTATCGTCTGGAATTTAAAGTAACGCGTTCGGATTAAATCATCCCTAATCCTTAATCCCTAATCCCTATTTTTACCTTTGCTCAATTTCATTTTTGCAGGTTCGTAAACAAATGTTATGGGTTCGCTATAATCGCAAGGTTGATTAGGTTGCGTCGTTCTTTCCAATCTCATGTAAACTTCAACTTCTGACGATATGTTGACATCTTTGTAAACTGGAGTTTTGAATATTATGGCGTATTGATGATGTAAAATCAAATCGTCTCCTTCCAGTGATGATTCCCATATTATTTTACCATTGTTACATTCTTCCCAAAATCTAACAACAAGTCCCTCTGAATAATAAAGAAAAAAAAAATGAAATGAATCTTACAACATCACATTGATTGACAACAAGTACAACAACAACAACAACAACAACAACAACAAGTACAACAACAACAACAACAACTCACTCTTGTTTATTTTTTCAACGAGCAACCAAATTTCTTCACCTCCATAACAACTTCCAGAACATTTATTAATCCTTGAAATTTTAAGTTTACCCGTTTTCGCACTTTCTGAAAAGATAATAATAATAATAATAATAATTATATAATGTTTTTTTTAAAACTTGTAATTTTATTTTAAACAGGAATATTTACTAGCATTTCCAATGGGTTCCGAATACACCGGCGGACATATTGGAAACAAAATATCATTTTCTTCCCGGAAAGCTTCGAAACACAATGAAACAAAATCAACATCTATTGAATTGACGGCTGATTCGACTAAATGCGTTAATTCTTCCGTGTCTATCTAATGATAATAATAATAATAATAATAATAATAAAAATAAATTAAAAAAAATAAAATAAAATAAAAATTTTCCATTCAATGACAAATGACCCTTGATTTAAAAAAAAAAAAAGTTGATAACACAATAAATTTACTACATACATAGTTATTATTATTATTTCTAGTTCGAAAATCACTTTATTAAAACATGAAAGCTATTTTAATCATTTTATTCGTCGGATGGGTAAGTTTTTCTTTTTTTTTTTTAGTTTTACAATAGGGGGGGGGAGGGGGAAACGAATCCGGAGAGGTTTTTAACAAAGAAAATTACTTATTGCCCACAGGTATCGGTCATGTGCGACTTTTTACCCGACGATGAATTAATAAATAATATCGACAATGCCAAAAATAGATTTAATAATGATTTTCTTCTCGGAGTTTGGTATAGAGCTAACGAAGCCATTGTCGAAAGTAGAGAAAAATTATTGA